CTTTTATAGTTTATATATAGCTCTCTTTTAGTCTCAACTGAAGTTTTGTCTTCTGATAAAAAACTCTGTTTTTCTTTTGTTTTAAATTAAGACTTGTGTAACATTTGTTATCATTCTTATTTTTATCATGTTAATGGAGGAAGAAAAAGTAGTATCGGCTTCATTACTCGGCCAAATAATATCGGCTGCACGTATCGGCGTATCGGTTAGACTGATGTTTAAAAAAATCGCTATCGGCCTTCAAAAACCTGTATCGGTAGATCTCTACTGGGAACACCTTGGGATTCCCACAGACAAGCTGGCCCAAGTGGCTGGGGAGAGGGAAGTCTGCTTAGGCTGCTGCCCCCGCAACCCGACCCCAGATAAGCAAAAGAAAATGGACGGATGGACGGACGGACGGGTGATTATCAGGCTTCTGCAGAACTTGGAAGAGGTATTTCAATGACTGAATCAGGTGTGCTGGAGCAGGGGAAAAAGTTAAAACTGCAGGGCTCCAACCCTCAAGGACCAGGATTGCCCACCACTAGGCTACACCTTATTTTAGGCTATGGACTATATACATCATTGACTGTGTTAAATAATTGTGTTCTACTTAAAGAAGAACTTACCCCAAAATCAACTTCTTTTTTGCAGAAAAACTGTCTAAACTGTGCTCTGAGGGTAATACTTTTTTATTTATGACTAAAATTGAACATTTTGTTCTGAAATTGTTTAAATCTACAACAATGACCACCTCTGATTGTGGTCAGAGRGTCTGGTGGCGCCGGTGMATGGTAGCCCCGCCTCTGTCAGTGTGCCCCAGGGCAGCTGAGGCTACAGCGTAGCTTGCCATCATTAGTGTGTGAATGTGTGTATGAATGGGTGAATGTCTGTAAGTGTAAAGCGCTTTGGGGTCCGGAGGGACTTGATGAAGTGCTATACAAGTTCAGTCCATTTACCATTTTACCATTTCCATTGTGTCTAAAAACGTCTTTGTGCTGCTCTCTTTGAGTTTAAGTRTGCCTACTACGTTTGAATTTCGTTATTCATTCAAAAACTACTGTATGACGCTGCTGGTACTGTGTGATGTCACACAGCAAAGTGTTGAGCATAAAAGCCTCTCGGTAGAGACACGCCCTGCAGAGATTCAGGCCATAGAATTGTTGATCGTTACTGTGGTAGGAGCTGCCTTCTCACCCACAGTGCAAAACATGGACATCTATCAGTCATAAAACACAAGATTCCCACGTGCAATTTAAACTGTTTTAGCTTCAGGCTGCAACATAAAATAAAACATGAAGGGTGTCTGAATATTTTAAAGTAACTTTAGATGTCATTTGAACATTTAGAGCAAGTTTAAAAGCTTCAGCAGCACATTAACATGTCCTCACTTATTGCGCAGGTCTCTGCATGCGACTCTGTGATCCACAGTGTTGACATGTTCCACCCAGTCCTGCAGGAAAATATATTCAATAAAATGAACAAGAAAGAAATCAGTAAACAACACCACAGAGACTTTCATCTGGCAGCTTCCTCTCAGCAGTGTGGATTTCTCTCTGGGTCCAGAACCGATTCTTTCATCAACTGACAGAACAGTGTTTTATCTCAGCCCAGTATTTTTGTTTCTGTTCAGTACATTTCTGTCACTTCTTCAGATAAACCTTTGTCATTAACACAATATGGCTTCAGGTAGAAACCAAAGATTTTCTAACAAAAACACGTTTTTTTTTTCATCACACCATAATTCACCTCTGCTATTTTGATTAAAAAAAATTAGAATTTAAAGACAGATTACTTTGAAACAAATAAACAAAACAATCTTTAAAATAGTCAAACACTGACTTACAAAACCGATGTCTTTATACATCACAGTGGTGCCAAATTTCTACAGACAAAATGTAAAGAACACACACAATATCGCTGTCCAAGTTATTCCACAATCTTATTCCTTGAAATGAGGTACATCTATCCTTCAAGTTTATTCCAATTTTAGGTTTTATAACATTTCAAATCCTTTCAAATTATAACAACTTTCCCTCTTAACAAAATTAGATTGAATATTCAAAGGCAATACATTTTTTATGAGCCCTATACATAATCAACAAACTCTTATAATCAACCAACTCATGAAATTTAAATAATTTCAGTTGATGAAATAATATATTTGATGGGTTACTATAATGTTTTCTGGTAACAATTCTTATAGCTCTTTTTTGCAAAATAAGAATAGAATTAGTAAATGTTTTACATGCCTTACCCCAAATTTCAACACAATAAATCAAATGTGGAACAATTATTGCGTTATATAATATAAACAGTGCTTCATCATTAAATAACTCATTTACTTTATGTAGTACTGCAATAGATTTTGCTATTTTTGTTCTTAAGTAATTTATATGAGGTTTCCAGGTCAGGTTTTCATCAATAATAACACCCAAAAACTTCACCTCACTAACTTTACAGATCTCCACACCATCAACTTTAAATGAAACATCGACCGTTCTTTTTCTATTACTAAATATCATATAATTGGTTTTGTTCAAATTTAGTGATAATTTGTTAAGCTTAAACCAAGTTTGTATTTTTACAAATTCTGTCTGAATCATCCTGAACATCCGTTCTAAGTCTTTGCCCAAACAAAAAAATGTGGTATCATCTGCAAACAAGACACATTTAAACAACCCTGCCACATTTATCAGATCATTTACATATAAGAGAAACAACTTTGGTCCAAGCACAGAACCTTGTGGAACTCCACGTTAGATCTTACATCGTTTATTTGAACAAATTGTTTCCTGTTTGTCATATGTATGTATGTATTAGGGGTGCAACAATACATGTACCTGTATCGAACCGTGCCGAACCATATCGAACCGTATTGAACAGTGCTGTGTCGAACAATAC